AGTAAAGTTTATTTTCAGACTGAATATCAAACAATATAGAAAATTTTAAGACAATCATTTTCTCCAAAGTTAGCAAGATCAACTGAAGATCAACAAGTAATTTTTAACAAAGTAAAAACATATCAGTTAATAAAGGTGTTAATAAAGGTTATACGTAGCAAATCTTTACACCACTCGTTAAATAAATTACAAAAACAGAGACTGGTAAACTCATTACAAATTCATTTTGTTTTACAAAAGAAACTGTCGTTATACGTACATCAGAAGTAATGTTTGTATTACTTAAATTTAAAGAAAGAGAAATATGCGGAAATGCGGAAATATCTTTTCAGCATATGAATATACTTCTTAACTTTTTCCCGAAAATTTACATACAGGCTCGAAATTATGCCAGTAACTTTCAAATATCGTCGCTTGGATGGAAAATTTCCGTAAGCGTCATTTTGACAGTTTTTAGTTAAAGATGCATTTATATATTTAAAAATCAGATATATCGCTTTTTTGTTAACAGTTTTTTGGATATCTTCTTTAGTTTCCGAGTAATTGACTAAAATCATTTGGTACAAATTACGTTAGTAATGCTGTCGTACTAAACTAATCAAAATCTTTCAAATAGCGTCATCTGTTTTTAAATATCTGCTTTAGTTTCCGACATATTTAGCCTTATCATGAGTTTCATTTTCTCGAACCGGGCCACCTTTTCACTTTTCGTTTCCGTGTATTCACTACGGGTGGGTGAAAACATTTCTGGAGATTTTTTTTTGTGCGAAACTCACGACTATGCTGCTTAGTGAAAAGTGTCGTTAATTTATAAAAAAATTTATCACATTTGGCGTATACGACAAAATTTTATTAAATTCATAAATGGTTGACAGTAAACTAAAAAATAAGATAATTTAAGAATTTCGTGAACTAGTACATAGCATTCTCCGACACTTTGGAGAAAATCTGTAGTCGAGTTTCTGAGAAATTGCATTCCAAACTTCAATTGTGATTTCCCGAAACCTGCCGAAAGTAACATGCAACGATCTTTTATCTAGGCGCCGATATAACATTTAGCTAAAATATGGATCTAAATAAATTATAATTATTATTTTCGCAGTTGAAGTATATGCCAGGCGAGTAACAGGTAAATACATACTTATGTAAGTATACCTAAATTAGCACGTTGAGCTTGTATAATTATCTCTCTCTAATGCACTAATTCTATATACGTCAGGACCAACGCCCGACGCAGTTATGTCTTTATTTAATAACGGCTCTATAACAAAATATTCAAGAAATATATTCTTAGATTTTTATTTATTTCATTTCATACATTAATATTGACCTGATTTTTTTTAATAAATACCAGGAATAAATCTATACATATAATAAAATTGTAACTGTAATTGTCTGTACATTATAGATATTAAAGAAAAATTAATGTGGGGGGTCTTTATTAGAGCACCAGAAGCCAAATCAACCATTTTTAGAATTTTTGTCTGTCTGTCTGTATGTTTGTTCGCGCATCACTCGAAAACGAATGCATGGATTTGAATGCAGTTTTCTCCGATGTATTGCTAGAGGTCTAACTTAAAATATAGGCTGAAAAAAATTGGAGAGTTGGCACCTGTTTGAAAATCGGAGTTTAAGTAAATTGATAAGAAAAAATGAATATTGCAATATGGAAGTCAAAAGAAAGAGGGTGAAGAAGGCTTACAGCCAAAAATATTTTTTTAGAGTTGCCACCTGTTTGAAAATTTAAATTTAATTTAATTTATAAGATAAATTGAATATTGCAATATGGGTATCAAACTGAAGAGGTTTAGGAAATTTTATTGCCGAAAATATTTTTAGTGAGGGCTGCCACCTGTTTGAAAAATTTTATTGTATTAAATTGATAAAATAAATGAAATCTAATATGGTGGGTTTTTATTAAAGCTACAGAAGCCAAATAAACAATTTTTAGAATTTTTGAATCTCTGTCTGTCTGTATATTTGTACGCGCATCAGTCGAAAACATGGAATTGTACGCAGTTTTCACCGATGTATCGCTAGAGATCTAGCTTCCAATATGGAA